ATTATGATTGGAACTCTTCAAGTTAATCATGATAAGTATTTTCATAAAGTATCAACATGGTACGAGATTCTCAGTTTGAATCTGGTAACATCAAAATATTCATATTAGAGTGATATCGGAATCAGTTATAATTATAGCATTTCGCTTTCGGCCGAGAAATGTACTTGTCATGTAGACTCTGGTGAACATCACTAGTTGAAAGTGGTACCCCGATCGCGCTCCGGATTAAGTACACTCGTTCCAAACGTCGTTATACACCAGCTCGGATTACCACTGAAAAAACTGCGTTCCATTGTCACTCAGCTCCACGAAATTTGTGAAGAAAGTCAGATAAGAAGTTGTCATTTTGTTAATAATGATCTATTAGCAATTTGTCTTCATAATTGCTAATAGATATAATCGAACTCAAGAGGCTGAGTTCGAGATCTTCGAACTGGAAAGCTCCGTCGGATTAGCTCCGAGCTGACATTTGCATCCAGATTTTAAGACCTGCCGTTTCGAAACCGGCCTGGAGTACAACAACACAACACAGTGGGTGCCATGAGACGTAGACTTGTTCGTTGCCACACGTGCGTTTGAACACGAACATGTCGACATGACATGACAAACGGATGAAGCTTCGCAGTGTGAGAATATCGATGGCATTGTAACGGTCCTTGTGAAGTAGACTTCGACAAGGAGCATGAAGATTCTTATCGTATAAGCTTCAATTTCCGTCTCGGCACCTGCACCATTAATCAGCTCTTTTCCAGTCCCTTCTCTCTCTCTCTCTCCCACAGCTAAAAATGAGATCTCGATACGGCATTTAAATCAAAAACACAATGGGCGTCCGCTCGCGGGTCTTCTGCTAACTTGAAAATGTGAATCTAGACTCAATTGCAACAATCAGATGCGGTTATAGGAACTGGTTGACCTGTGATTTGGTCAGCGTTGTAGGCTCAGTCGAAGACCACACCATCTGATCAGAAGGTTGTTGAATTCATCAAATCTATGTGAGATATTTTGCCTTCAATTCGTGTGGTCGTGTGAGGATCTTCGATTCATGATAATTCTGACTATGCTTAGTAGAGAGAAGGATCTGGACTGACTGAACGATTATTTACTATAATTGAAGTTCCAAAAGTCAACTGCTGAGGAAGAGTGTCCTTTGATATGGAAACTCTTTCATGTCTGTAACGCGAAGATCGCAGCTATTTTAGAATCAAAACAAAAAGGCTTTAGAAGAAAATTCACAATTGTTTGTACAATTCAATGATCACAAGGTTTACTTTACCTAAAACGAAATGAAAGTCAATGTGTTTAGTCAATGTGCTTTTATTATATATGATCAATTGATAGCAATAAGATCAATTCGTAATCCCACAATGACAAGCGCATTTCTGGAGAGAAAAGTCAAGCACCGCTCAAATTTATCCTCTTGATTGATGACAGAGCTGGATAATCTGAAACCGTTTGCCCATGAATATCATACGAGCTACCAAAGATTCATAAAAAAAGTAAAAGGTAAAGTTGAGATAGATTTGCATAGTGAACAACACTTTGTAAAGCATGAAGGAATGTAGGATCAGATATTTTAGAAGTCCAGCTTCATACCTGAAATTTGAAGATACGCCTAACGAGAACAAGTTTTAGCTCTAATGAAACCCAAAATAGTCAAGTCAAAGGAGAATCTACTATAATCATATATGAATTTGTCGTATATGTTCAACTTGACGGTTTTTGAAAACTAAGTTTTTGGGTGCAGTTTTTCGGAAATGCGTCGTGCAGATAATCTTACTACGTAATTTTATTTGATCTGTTTACTTTTAGTGCTATGCTTCTCTGAACTTTATGATTCTTTTGTTACAGAATTTGGGAATAATATATTTAGCGCTAAAATCAACAAGCCAAGAAATTTGTAAGTTAGCTCTAGACATTACAATAACATCCAGATGATCCTATTTGAGAACTGTCATTAAGTGACACTGTTCCACATTGTTGTGAGATTATGAGGGTCAACAGAGAAAATATTACTTCTGTTAAGCATTTTAGATGTTTATAAAAAATTTACTGTTTATTGTTACTTTGCTTATTGTTATTTGAGTATCAATTTTAGATGTTTGAGATCTTGAGATATGGTCTTGTTTCGAACCTAAATTTCGGAATTTTGTCTGCCATGTGGGTTAGGTTGGGTCAGGAACTACTCACCATTGCAATTGATTTACAAGCCTCGTTTCACGTTTCGTTTTACAACCCCTTTTCTTCCATGATCAATGTTAATATACAGAATATTCCTCATTCGTTTCATGGACGGCGTGAAAGCTTCACCTTTAAGGTGTAATGTACTATACGTAGCTTAATTCAAAACTACCCTCTTCATAGCAACATGGATACCTGATAAGTGTATTATAACTGAATAAAAGCATTGGAGCCTATTTATGTAAATTTTCTGCAGACTGAGAATGTCAAAAGCCTTTCTATCTCGGCCCAGGCCGTCCACACTGCAGTATCCCGATGGCCACGGGCTTCATTTCAAGTTGAAAAAACACTGTCAAAACATTGTTTTTTGCTTGAAATGAAGCAACTGGGTTTGAGGTTTGCTTCGTTTTCTCTTTCCTGGAAAAAGAAGGGACATCGTACCATAGATGAAACTAGGAGAAAATCGAGCGAAGGCTTTCACGTCCTTTATGTGATATATTAACGTTGCAAATGATTATAGCTTCGGTTTCTGTTGGACCCTGAGTGCTCTGTCTCCAGGTTGAAGGTAGACAGAGTTTTTACCTGTTTCGGAATATTGATCGGTTATGAAAGGATAACATGCAGGACAGTTGAAATGTCGAGTAGGAACATGATATAACGGGAAATACAGTCCAGGTTTTCTGTAATTTTATCGATTTGAGAGATCATCTTAAAAGTTAGCTTGTAGTCGGTGCTCGGCTCAATCTCAATAAAAGATCAATCAGCCATTTGCAAATTAAGAGTGTATTACACTGTCGAGCCTCTTTTAATCACTCGAAAAAGTGAATCAATGATCACATGTGAGGCGAATTAGATCTGTGACCAGAGGAATATCAGACTCGGCTCACATAAAACGCAGAATTGGCGCCGAGCAGAAGATGGACCAATAGATAGTCCTCTTTTAAAAGGTCCTGCTCGGATTAAGACTATTGGGTTCTTACCATCCCCGACCTTTCGATGGACGGCACTGCCGGCCATCAAAAGGTCGTCAAAATTCGTCACCGCAGTGAAGACTGGATGCTCATATTCCAAAGACAGAACTGTACATCCATGCCATGCATATATGAATCTTCCATGCAATCCAGTATCTGAATGAGTCCAGACGCGGATGGACGACGCACCAGTCACGTCGTCCACAAGAGGTTCCAACTTTAGCAAACATTCGATTTCCCTTAAGATATGATTATTCGTCACTACCGCCAAGAGGTCCCATAGAGGAGTTGAGAAGGTTCCATATAGAGCCAAGAAATGTCCGCATCCAAATACGGTCAAGTTCTTGCTTGAGTGTACGGAAGATCATCTCCCGGTATTCTCATTCGAGATCTCAAGTCCTGTAAAACACTAAACTAACGCTCCGATATCCCCGCCGTTGGAATGGTAGCCATATCAGGATTTCTAACTTGTCGGAATATTAACGTTTTTCAAAGGTGCACGTGACTACTAGAAGGTTGTAAATTTGTACATGGACTTACTATCTCAGTTTTTAGGCACTGATATTCGAAGGAAATTTTGAGTTCCATCTTATTTATTATACTTAAGGCATCGCCCGTATCAAACCTATTCCTTAGTCATAAGACTTTAATTAACGTAGAGATCAGATTAAATTGACACGCCCCACCCAAGACCAACCCAAGAATTTTAAGAACAGAACTTACTAGCTACAAAATAAACTTCATAATCTAAGCAATTTGGAGAGCTCTGTGGTCCATGTATTCTGTGCAATATTCAGATGTCTTTTCTTGCTCTTGAGCATAAAATCTGAGGAAATAAAACTTTACCATGTGAAAGCGTCAGTTCTTATGAACCTAGCCAATTAAGGTAGAAGTAGTGAAAGAGAAAGGATAAAGTTGCTCTAAAGATATTATGTACTGTATAGCAAGACCTAGAAAAAGGATCCAAGTGGTTAACCGAAATGAGACCCATCAACCCGTGCGTGGACTAACTGGGGTCTATACTACAGTAATAATAATTGATGAGTCAACGGCAAGTCCAGAAAGCCACCAAAGTGCATCACGCTCCGCTCACACCGTATCCTCCGAGAAGGAGGATCAGCCCGTTTCAGGCTGGTCTATCTGGTTTCCCCGAGAAGGGACAAGATTCTTTGTCTCGTGGGTGTTTTTATCAATAGAGAAAGTCGACTGAAGTGAACGGTAAATTAGTTCAGATTTTGTACTAATTTACTGCTCACTTCATCACTTCACTTCACCCTTTACTTCACTGGCTATCATTCTGTACTACAGAATGATAGCCAGTGTGACTTGTTTTTCTAAGTATCAAGTGTCCTTTTGCTGTCTTGTCTATAGGTGGGTCATTTATTGCTCGGGGTTTGCTGTCTTGTCTATAGGTGGGTCATTTATTGCTCGGGGTCTGAGGTGATATTCTTAGAAAAATTCGAAAGCTAAACATCCAACGAATTGGTTACTCCGCTGAAGAGCAGTTTTTGATCCTTGATTCTCAAAATTCTTTCCACTAAATTGTATGAAGTAACTCTTCTAGCTCTGAAATCCTGCCTAATAATCTCCACCTGACGGGACCTCTGGAGTCGTCCATCAATTTTGGCATGGATGATGAATCATCAGCCATGCCAAAATTGAGGGACGACTTCTAAAGGATTGTAATAATGATCATCAATAATGAAATGATCATCATTGATGATCATTATTACATTCCTTTAGAAGTTTCGTCAAAGTTATCCTATGTTGCTGCGAGCCGGCCTGACTGGAACGGGAAAGAATTCACTTAAATATTTCAGTTTATAAGCTTTGAAGAACTAGATAGCATCTGCATAGGCACTCGAGCCTTTGGAAACTGAGCGCTGATACAAGTAATTGTTTGACTGGTCAAACAACCTGATGCAAGTATAAATACCCATACGCCGTCACACTTTCTCAGACCTCCGAGTCATGCACTATTCTCCATGCATAAATATTTTCCTTTCCATCCAGGCACAGGAAGGTGACACCGCCAGGATCCTAGTTCACGAAACTCAACGGAAACTAACCGGAATCTTCATGCAGTCGATCTGAGGAGTTTGTTGAAGAGAGCCAATTTATAGCTCACACCCAGATCTACAATTACGAAATCTTTCGGTTTCCTCGAGGTTTCACGCACCCAACATGGCACTATTGATTGCTGGATCTGTCCACAAAGTAAAATCTGATCTGCTCGCCGATCTGAAAGCTAATCAGCCTTTCCTGAAAGACCACCAGCGAAACCCAATAGGAACTAGTATTCACGTCAACGGCGGTGATCCAGGTCAGTGAAAGAGAGCAGCTTCGAGAGTGGAGATGGCGTCCATTATATGGCAGAGATCTGACTGACTGACATCTCTTCTGAGTTGGAGCTCAACAATCGTACAATTCACAGAAGCTCAGCCAGTTCGTCATTTGGGCCATTAAACAGTTGAATTTGAGTCTGTAAGCAGCTTCCAGTGACTCAATGCTGGTCTTTATCACTCACTAAGTTGTGAATTTGTCCAATGGCAGTCTACCGCCGACCAAAACCAGCGAGGACTTCCTGTTCCGCGCAGCTGCGGGTGGAAGACGTTGGAGGATTGAAGCGAAGGAGCAAGAACCCAGACAAGTCGCTTCTGAGCTTTCCTTCGGTAGACTTGGGGGATACCAGCAGTGACGAGCGAGACCCTTTCGCATTCCAAGACTACCAGTTCCTGTTCCGATGCCAAAGGGAAGAGGTCAATCCAGTCCCACTAGAAGTCGTGGAGGGTCAGCTGCCCGTCGATCTCCAAGGAAATTACTATCTGCAAGGGCCGGGAATCCTCTCGGACGACCATGGATCTCGAGTCTCCCCCTTGGACGGACATGGCTACGTCCGCAAGTTTTCCTTCAAAGAGGGCATACTGGAATTCTCAGCCAAGTATGAGGCATACTGCACCCCCACATTCCTGCCTCCTCACATCTTGTGTATCTCTTCCGACGGTGTCAGACTGTGCACTGCACGCTTCCACCATTGCCCTCTCACGTATGATACGGATATTGTAATTATCTGAATGATAATGAAATGCATGAGAGTATCAGTTCAATACCTCTGCTTAAGGCGACCGCTTAAGCGTTTCGGCATTTCACTTATGCAGTACGACTGAGAACTTTTGGCGCTGCTCGTCTCGTGATATTTATTTTGCAGCCATGAATGTTTGATTGCAGGTACGTGGGGACGGAAGCTTGCAAGCAAGAATTTAACGAGGAGAAAAAATCTTGGAAATTCACCTATCGAGGGCCATTTTCTTTGCTAAAAAAGGGAGCGAGGTTGGGCAACATGAAAGTAATGAAGAACGTGGCCAACACGAGTGTGTTTGAGTGGGCCGGTAAGCTCATGTGCCTGTACGAAGGCGGGCAGCCTTATGAGATGGATCCAACATCGCTCGATACTGTGGGCCTTCTCAACATGTGTCGAGACACGAAGAATATCGACGACCTCACTGCATACCTGAGCTCCAAGGTCAAGAGGGCAACAGAGAAAGTGTGGGATGCCGAGCTGCTTGTGAACACTGTGAAAAAAGCCTGGATGGCAATGGCGGCCACCGTGTTGCACCATATTCTGAGAGGTGCAAGTGATACTTGCCTGTCTGCTTCTCGTCCTTCTGCATTATAAACCTCCCCTAGTCAAGTCTCACGTGTTCATATCTGACTGCTTCTCATGCTTCTGCATTATAAGCCTCTCCTAATCAAGTCTGAGATCATATTTTTCGCTGCAACAGTGGTCTCCATCATGTCCACAATTTTATTGATAGTTCTGTTTCTGAAATTTCTGTTCCAGGCATGTTCTCGATGCCAGAAGAGCGAATGCTAGCTCATGTCAAGATTGACAAGAAGCGGCAGAGGCTGATAGCAATCACGTTCCGTCCAGAAGACATGCTGCTGCCCAAGAGCTCGCTAACTGTATATGGTGAGAGTCTGACGCCGCATAAAGTGAATCCACCGGATTTTAGTCAGACGAATTAGTTCTGATCCTTTGGAATGTGGCACTGTGTCTGTACTTCTTATACTCAGCATTGGTTTGTTTGCAGAGTTCGACAGGTGCATGAATCTCTTGCAAAAGCTGCGGTTTACCATCAATGATCACATTATGATACACGACTGGAATCTGACGGAGAATCACTATGTCATCATTGCAAACCGAGTGAAGCTTAATTCTTTCAGTAAGTAACTTACTCGGAAGATTTCTGCACTGGATGAAGCTCCTTAGTCATATGGACAGTTTGAGTCCACTACCTGAAACTGATACGTCCCTTTCTATGAGCAGATGAGCTTGGCGCTGCCATGACTGGTTTTGCACCCATGATCAATGCCATTGCGCTGAACGACTCTCTGCCATACACTCCCTTATACCTGCTCCCGAGGACACCACCTTCAGAAAGCTCGAAGCCAGCCAGAAACTGGAGGGTTCCGATCAGAATTCCAAGACAATTTTGGTTCATCCATGCCTCCAATGCATTCGAGGAAAAGACTTCTGATGACAGAACACGAATCCTCATCGACGGAAGCGCATCCTCGTATCAGTGGTTCAATTTTACTCGGATGTTTGGTAACCGTTAATCTGAAAATAAGTACTTCGTGTGCCGTTAGTGCATGTTCCAGAAACCAGATGCAGTTGCTCGAAGCAACAGATAATGCTCGATCCGAATTCAAGCTCGAGCGCAAAACATTTCGCTGAAGTCTGGAGTTTTCCATCATGTGCAGGTTATAATAGCGACAAAAAGAAATTAGATCCCAGCGTCATGAACGATGCTGATGCCACCGAACCAGAAATCGGGAAGAAAGCAGCTATGCGTCTCATGAGGACCACTGTCACTCTTCCAGGAGCCACGGAAGACATCGACGCGGAGCCAGAATGCGATTTCCAGAACTTTAAGAACTGTCCCTGGTCCTGTGACTTCCCATCCGTGAACCCTGCTCTGATCACCGTCAAGCATCGGTATACGTACGTGGCGGCTGCTTCGGGCACGCGCAAAAGGCTCCAACACTTTCCATTCGACACGGTTGCCAAAGTCAGTGGCCCCGAAGCCCATGACTCCGTCTCCACCTGGTGGGCTGGAGAGCGATCGTTCGTAGGAGAGCCCGTTTTCGTCAAAAGGCTCAACGCTCCCGAACCCGGAGAAGCAGGCTTTGTCGAGGACGCTGGCTACTTAATCGTTGTGCAGGTACCTTCCATTCGCGGCCCTCTTGCACCTTCATGTCTGTGACGACAACTTTTAGAAGACGACCGGCTGTCCCTCGATCACGAGCTAGTTTTCTCGCTCGGATATAATCCTGCTCGCTTTTGCTAAACTAGAACGACATTCCTTCTCTAACCTTGACGCTCCGTTGTTCGCGCAGCACTCGGCGATGGAGGAACTTTGCTATCTCGTCGTGCTAGATGCTCAGCTCATTGGGACAGAGGGAGCCTTGGTGGCTAGGCTGAGAGTTCCTAAGGCTTACACCTTTCCCATGGGCTTCCATTCGGCTTGGGAAGATAGTTCACGTGGAGATAGCAGCCTGAGACAGTGCAGTAGGCAGTGAATCATATGCTTGCACCATGTACAACAGGTATGGAGACATCCTGTACTTACAGGGAAGCTTGCATGCAGTACTCGGAATGTGCTTTTTTCATGCATTAATATTCATCTGATCTGATTCGGTGTCTGCGGTATTGCTATTTAAGAAGGGGTTCAGTATCTCGAGATGAATTCTTCTCACGTATCATTTGTGTTCTGATCAGAATAAGATACGTCGACCAACTGGCAGCGAGGCCGTCAAAGAGAGCTTGTAGCTTCCAAGTCCGGTGAAAGTATTTAAGCTCTAGAGGATTGTCGACATGCCCCGAAGCTCACCTAGAATTTGATATCGAGTAACGAAGCCGAGCGCAAATTGTCAAGTCGAGTGCAGAGAACCACTCGACGAGAAAGAAATCTAAAACGGCGATGCGAGCTGAAGGTAGGCGCGGATTCAATATCTTTGTACAAGGGGATGCGGGCATGCGCCTCGATTAGACGGGAAATCGAAGAATCGGGAATCACAGCGCGTTGTTGAGTTCCTTGCAGACAGCAACTCCAGGTATCCGATGTATACAAGGATAGGTCGTGAAGGTGTGATCATCTTAATCAATTCTATTATGGAGGTTGACTTCAGGATGTCTGACGAAACCACAACCGTAAGGGCTACCGAAGGCTGTTACGAGAAGAAGATTGACTGGTCGGTCCGGCCGTATAGAGGAGTCCGGGTTGGTGCATATGAGGTCCGTGAGTCCATGTTAGAGATTATGACGATCTTAGAGCGGAAACAGCTCAGAGACCAGAGCTTCCCAATACGCCATATAGAAGAGTTCTATTTTTAGTGGTTGTCGGTAGAATCCCCAGAGCCGGACTCCCATATTAGATTCTCGTAAGTTTCATCACGTATGCTGAACCTCAAAGAGTTGCATAATTTCCGTAGAGACAAGCACCATCGCTAAAAGGTCGAATTTCTTCAGCATATTGCAGGAACGAATCAGAAAAGTGACAAGGCAAGATAATCGAAGATCATAGCAAACCAAGCTTCTGTATTGTGGAATGTACATACTCGTTAACGGAGACTGAAGATATCTAATAAATAATAGTATCGTAGTTTACCATTTTTTTTATCATACCGTCTAGTACCAAAGGTTCTCCATCACTGCTGATACACTTATAGAATTGATAATTTATCAAAACCATCAAAAAATGGAGAAAATTTGGCGCACAATCAGACATGTTAATGCCAAATAATAGAGTATGATGGTGCATCTGCCGAAGGATAGCAAAGGATCACCTTGCCATATCAAAAACATAAAAAACTCAATCGGTTGAGCTTTCTTAATTTACTTCCGCCATCATTCGACATCCATGTCAGAGCTAAAGAAAGAGCATATAATATTGGTAATATGGTTTGTGTATCACTCCTCAGGTCTGTGGATGGCCTCGACCTTTTCTGGATCAAAGGTTTATTCTCGTGGACTCTCAAGACGACACTTTGGAGCCCGAGGATTTATTCGGAGAGCCTCATGCGAGGCTGTGCAATTTGCCCTGTCCGTCCGCCATTTCTGCCAGTGGGTCGAGAATGAACCACATCAAGGCTTTAGATTGATCGCTGTAAGCTTCGATCGTTATGAGAATATAAATGGGGCGCTGAAAGTTGGGAGATGCACCAAAGAGCTCTCCCAACGAAACGAGTATAAGGAGCGAGGGGCTTCATCTCGTAGACGGGTTCTTTGTTCTGCTTCTCCTGGTGCATCATATTGCTTTGAATATGTGGTTATATTAGTTTCTCACATGTATCTTATGAGATCATGCAAAATGTTAAAAACAACACAGTATAGGAGTAGATAATGAGAGTATTGGTTGATATTGCAAGATCTCTAGTAAAAATTTAGTCTTCTATATGGATGCAAAAAGCTTCCAGACATAACTAGGCATATATTATATTTATCACGTACTCCTAATATCAAACATTAAAACCATACTAAGTATATCATGTGAATAAAATTTCTATTATTTTTTTTACCTCAATTAATTAATCAAAATTAATACTTACCAATATTTACTTACATTTTGTAAAATAATAGTGTCAATCTCAAAATTCTCTTACATTCACATGTGTAAAACGCATCTTCATAATCATCAAATTAATAGTAATGAACAGAATCAAGATTCAAAATTAATGTCAAATAATCTATTTCCATAGTTTAATTTAATATCTTGCATAATTTGTCTATTTTATAGAAACAAAAAAAAAAATTGATCTATTTAGGGTCTATTATCATTTTTATATTTTTTCAATATCTTTAAGTATGATATTTTATGAATCAAGGTTATCATCATATGACCACATTATAATTTATAAAACTATGATAAGGTTAATTCTAATAAAAGAGTAACCTTATGGTTTAGTTATTTATAACTAGGTTGATTGTCGGTGTTGTGTATATTTTATTTGTGGGTGTTGTGTATTATCGATATATGCATTACCAAACACAACATTCAGTACAATATCATGATGCTCTTCCCCCGTGGACGTAGTACTTGAGTATGAACCATATCATATGCCAGTGTCTTGTGATGTGTATAAAGTTAGGATTTAGAAGTGTCTCTTGTGTTGATTGCTTGTCTGGGTGTCCTCTGTTTATCACTGTCATCTACGTAATTTTCACTAACAATTGATATTATAGCTGATTTTTAATTGGGGACTTTGAGCTAGGTTTAAGTTTGATGTTTGCCATTTACAATTTTTGACAGTTTTTTTTTTCAAAAAATCGTTAATCAGGAAGTAATTAGTTTTTCAAACTTTATCGACAGTTCTGCACTATGAGAATTTGACAGTGTTTTTTTAGTAAGATTGCTAGATTGACAATGATTTGAGTTTGTGACTCTGTGTATCTGAGAACTCTGACATTTATGTGAGTTCTCACTGTGTGACAACTTTGGTTGGAATACAATGATCGTTTTTTTTTGCAGATTGTAGCAAGAATTTTTCAAAAGGATCGATCGATCACTCCTTGGCTCCTCGCACGAAGAACCCCAAGGAAGACGAGTAGTAGTTAATATACACCTATACCTCGGCGAAATTCTGCAATTTCTGATCGAAGATGCAGAAGGTGGAAAAATGCTCAGGGGGCGATCATGAGGTGATAATAGGAGTGGTGTCGTTCCATGGGGAATCACCCATAGAAATACGAATCGGTGAGGGATGCGGGGACATTGCAGCTTCTTCGTGCGCGGGCCAGAGTCCGGAAAGTCTGCTTCACAGCTTCACTGCTTACTACCTCTTTTATCTGGTGGGAGCAGTGTCCATCTTCATCCCATTCATCACGGGACAGGGGGCTCTGAATCTGCTGCCATGGCTGCTCAGCTTCAGTGGAATTCTAGCACTGTTGCAGTTTTCTTGCGTGCGCAAGGCTCCTGGTTCCAACGCCATTCTCCTCATCGCTACGCTGCATTTGACCACCGACGTGTGGATGCTCAGGAGGCCTAGAGTAAGCCCAGCAGCAGTGGCGTACATGATCGAAGTTTAGTTCCTGATCCACGGCTCGTTGAAGCTCTGGATCTCCTTACAAGTACGGAAGCTGACGACTTGGCCCGCCTTGTTTGCTAGCGGCTGCTCGTCCATCGTCTTGGCATGCGTTGTCCACCGCCTCTCACCCAAGTACGGCCTCTCCCTGGTCGACATTTACGTCCGGGTGGAGCTCTTGTTCACGGGATGCGCCAGCGCTCTCCTCTTGTACTCCATCATAGCTTTCCTCTGGAATCAGAGACCCTCGCACCACGACGATACGTAGACCTCACATCAGACATCAGACATGTGTTCTTCGAGCCAGCTCAGTGTTATTTCAGCATTTGTTATACGAATTTCCAACTCTCGTTGCTCGGACCTGTTCGCTCTTTCGGAAATGATGTGCATTTACTCGAGCAATGTACGAATTTCTAGCTCGAGGGCAATTTATACGGTGAATCTTCTTGAGGATTTATTGGATTACTCCTGAGAGAGCTCTGCCATGTTATTGAATCACTGAATATGGAGCTCAATATCCCCAGAAGAGTAGGGAGCCGACGTGTCTGCTCGGGGTAGTAGCAGGGACTCAACCAGTCTGAGATTCATCGAGTATCTGGACAGAAACTCGCAATCCTAGGTCAATTCTTACACTTCACATGTTTTAGTAGTTTTTCATTCTCTCCTTGTCTTTCGAGAGTTTCTACTTCATCTGTACTCAGATCATGTACGAATCTTCGCTCGTTTCCGAAAGTTAAGATGTATCCGAGCTGAAAGAAACATCACAGGACTATTTTACATCCAGTCATTCGTTGTTCTGAGATGTTCTGAATCCCATGGCCATGAGAACTTTATTGTCATTTGCACTGGTTCGACCAAAATCCGTCTGCTGCTTTACTTGAATTTGAGCTTTTATTGGCTGCTGCTTGGACCCTCATGCACATTGGGGTTTTTTTAATGATGGTGCGAAAATTACAGTCAGATGAAACGAGAGCGCCGGAACAGCAGTCGCTCGAAGATGGTGGAAGGCAGGAAGCACCCGAAGCATGTGAGATGCGAATCGTATGCTTTCAGCTGATTCCCAACGCATGTCAGAAGGTAGGTTCTTTAAACTTTCAGACTCTACAAATGTGGCCGAAAGCCATTCACAAGCAAGCTCTACTTACTAACATCTGATATCCATCATTGTAATTTTTTTCAAGAAAATTCAACAGCAATTTAGGCCTTATCGGAATTCGTCCCGGCAGAAGGGAGAAGTATTGTTGACGAGAATTACAGAGTAGGAAGAGCACAAGGATTGGTGAAGCAATCTCGCGGTAGGATGGGACTAGAAGAGTTTAAACGAACTTTTAGCAGAATTTGAGGGTTCTGTTTAAACCTGCGTGTGGATTTTGAGGGATTGAAGTTGAAGATTTTGACAAGGCAAGCAGTGCTCGGTTATGAGTGGTATATCAAACTAGCAGCACTGTATCCGAATCCCCCCGAAGTCATTGAAAACTAATTGCATCGATCCGGTCATCAATCTGTTAGATCGATAATCGTCAAGAATTGGTGCATGTCCAGCTTCGGATGCATTCGATATTATGATCGGTCTGAGAATCTGTGTGGCGAAAACTGGGAGGCACAACTTGACGTCCCCCAAGGCAGAATGGCGACGTGCCAATCGAGGATTCAGTTCGGCATATTCCGAAGAGTTAGGTCGATGCAAAGACAAACAGTTGCGAGAAAGCGAGTCTCGAGTAGGAGCTCAGATTGAGAGTAAATTCATGTATCGTGGAGCACTGTGATGGTCTCGATAGACGTGCGTGCAGTCGAAGGGCAAGGAACATGTAACAGTTCCGGATACTCACGGGTTGACTTTACATGCAGCTCGAGAGGTCCAGCGCCGAAGCCCCCACTGCAGCCTTCTCCTCCCTCCCTCCCTCCCTCCCTCGCGTCGATCACTTGAATTGTAAAGATGGGCAATCATGATCTCTCGCCTGCCGGAAATAATAATGGCCTACTGTGCCTCGTAGACCAGCTGCAAAGCGATTTGTTCTTAAGGCCTGCATATGGTCTCCATTAACATGAAAAGGAGTCGGATGAGCGCCCCGTGATTATATCTCGCACGCAATAATAGGCCACCCTGGCCTGCTCTGCTCTGCTCTGCCCTGCCCTGCCCTGCACTGCCCTTCAATGTGGTCGGCCTATGCCGAGTCTCCGTTCTCCCTCTCGGTCTTCAAATTCTTCGAATGTCTACGAAAGGTGGAATTTCCCGACAGCTGATATTTTCGCCTTAATTGGACTGTGCAAACTCACTCGTTTTTCTCGCACGGAGTCGCACTGGTCGGCGTCCGATTTTATTGTATTCTGTATTTTAATGTATTCTGCAGCATTGGGATGACTGAAAAAGGCGTCCCCCCGCAGGAGCAGGACGGAGACTAAACTCTGTGTGTGAGTCCGAGGCCTGGGGCGAGCGTTTACCTGATGGTAATACTTTCACTGGGATGGGATGTGACATCGGAGAATATTATCAGTACGATCTCATGGATTTTGTACGTGGCTGCGGCCGCTGACAAAGTTGCAGCATTATCTTATGACATCGTTGTTTTCCTCTCTGGACCGAAGGCCGTGAACACAAGCCATCGTTCAGGCTGACTTCTCAGAATGCGTAACGGTTTTAGATCGAGTGCGGGCATGGGCGTCTTAGATTGTCAGATCGTTTAGTCATTAGATTCGCTAACCTTTATGATTTATGCTGAGCTTCTTCGAAGACGCGAGCTCGAGCTCGACGTTGACAGCAACTAAATGAAGATAGTCTCGCTCTTCCTTGTCTCGTAAGCAAGAGCAAGAGCAAGAGCGCATGCAGCTAAGAACATCGACTCGCTGCATCGGGTTTTGTTTGGTGATTCTGCTGTATTCTCGATCGCTGTCTACGTCTGTTACTGTCAGATGTTCCTTTTTGCCCCGCTTTCTCCACATTGTACAGTTCAGTGTTCCCTGCTGGATAGAATGTGATTTCATGCAAGCATACAGTGGCCATGGACAATCAAGGATTCAGTGGGGTTCGAATCTATGGTGCATAGAAGTTGAGGAAAACCTCAGAATTTGTTTTTACACGTGGCGCGGAATTTTCCCAGATTCTGTATTTAAAACGTTTCTGAAAGGAATGTGAAGAATTTACATGTCATGGAAATAAGTCTTGGCGCTATACATCGAGCTCGTTAGAAGGTACGACACTTGCAAGCTCTTGTTTTCTGGAGGGATTATTTTATGCAAATCTCGGACAAATACGATTTCATTTGGATTATCCAAAGATGAGTCAGTTGCTGGAAAGAACTCAAGTTTAGTCCTGTATAATAAACATGACTAAATTGTTGGCCATGATCGAAAGAAAATCTAGCAAGCTACTCTCCAGTCTGACGTCAAAAGCATGAAATAATAACTTCAGGTACAACTTCTTGAAGTCATAAACTACTTCACAGTTCATGCAACAAGTTAATTAAATATGTTCGTTCGATTGTAAAACAAAGAAGAGAGATCACCTCAAACTCCTGCAATATATTTCACGACTCTTCACGAAAACGAAAACTCGTACAAAGTAACAATAACTTACCTTCTGGAGGTCATATTGAAATTGCTTGAAATGCACTGATGAAATTGATTTTCCCCTGTCAATGCTTAATTCAGCATTTTTGATATGTTTTAAAGTTTCAATATGTGTTTCTAGGAAAAGGATTTCTTTGTTGATGGGGCGAATCTTCTTTTCTTTAAGTTTCAAATGTCGAAGGATTTCAGAAGCTCCTGAAAAGTAGAAACTGAGAAATACTCCTTACACCTAGGTTCTGCATTGATAAAAAATCCTTGAGCATACAACAGTCCAGACCACCTTGTGGTTTGAACAATTACCTTTTTAGTTTAGTTGGTGTTTTGAAATCAATTCTCATCATGTTCGAAACAGTGAATCAGAAAACAACTTTGTGACTTGCAACACAAGTGTTTGTAAATCAGCTGGTAAATCCTTCTTCACATGGGAATTAATGTCTAGCAGCGATGGTTTCGTCTATAGCTGAGCACAGATAAGCACTGATCAGCTTTGATTTTATGTCGAGACAGTGTCAAAGCATGATGATCATGAATGTTGCTGGTATGATCACACGAAAGCAACTAGGGCACCGTTGGTTGTGATGACTCATGATCATCCTGACGAGTTCAGTTGGAAATCTACAGTGAAACATTAAAATACGAGGGTCCACCTTGCCACTCGAATTAAAAGATGTATTGGGTAGTTATGCTCTTCACACCCACCTGTCAGGAATATGTCATATACCTTAGCAAGCTTTGGACCATCAGCTGATGGCTCAATGTCTTCGATGACTTTCCTGTGTAACAAACGAAGTAAGGGCGAGGAGGAAGATTGAAGCTCTGTGACAGTGGAATTGATGGAGGCTAGACTCCGATCTCAACTGAATGTACCTGTAGATGGTCTATGAATGAAATTTCTCCTCACACATACCAGGAAAATATGATGAACCCAATTTGAAATCGAATGCTGAACAAAACAACAGGCGGACAAAATGTGTTAGAATGATGAGCTTTTTCTAGGAAATTCACAGCGCCATTGAGAAAATTCATCGTGATTGACATTGATAGGACATTTGAGTGAAGGGGAGTCTACTTGACTCAATCGAAGCCGCTTGAGTATGCATTGCGATGGAACGAATAAATGACTTGAACTGTGATGAAAGTTCGAACATGCTTGTTTCTGTTCTGTGGTTGGGCTCTTGTTAAGGGACGCTTGAGCTTTAAAATCTTTACCAGCACATTGCATATGGATCTTGCTTGAAAATCCGAAGCATGTGTTCTGTACTCACTGTACAGAAAGCTACACGCACTAATCATCCTGACTCAAAACCCCTTCCACCAAAGTCCTTGAGTTCATTCATTCCTCATGCATGTGTCCCCAAGATGATTTGAACTCGAAAATTCCTGAAGTGCTGAAATTTTTCGTCCCTACGAAGAGAGGGTACTGATATTACACTATATATATTATGAATGTGTAAATTTATATTTTAACGTCACATTTTACACCCAAGAAAGAGAGGGTCACTTGAAACTTAAATATAATTATACATCAATCTGAAACAGAATCACCAGACTGAAGTCCCTCTGAGATAGCTGATGATTCCACAGCGAAGTAGCGAGTAGATTGGATCGTGGAAATTTCATGATCGTTATGAAATTTCGGACGCACAGCTGCACACTTATGCCATCCAGCCGTGATACCTGTTGTAGATGCAGCTGACAAATTCGTGTCGGGAGCGTGATCGTCATTTGCAGCCCATTCATTTCGTAGCCGTATGAGGACAAGTGTGAGATACATTGTTCATTTAGGTTGTTCTCAATCTGAGTAAATGCACAGCAGACTATGTCCGAGAATGTGATAAGACTTGTTTCACCTTTCAGCTATGAATGTGATGATCTGGTCAGAGGATTCCAGTGCTGAAAGGAATCAGCTTCACAATAGTTTGTTGACCCGTGCAAGTTTGTGCGGACAAACTTGCACGGGTCAAAACACAGTTTAGTAAGTTGTTGTGGAAACTACGACATTCAAGCATTTGATTTAGTTCCACCTCACAACGAAGACATTGAGAGCTTGTCCTATTGTTAGATCCTAGAATCAATATATAGATATATGTAGATGATGTTTTGTCAAGAGAAAAGAAGACAAAATCAATCGCAAAATGAGATTATGGACTACGCCACAATTTCAGTTAACAATTCTGGAGAGCTTTGTTTGGTAACACTGCTCGACCTA